ACCGCCACCATGGGCCACTCGATCCACAATGTTGACATCAGCAAACCGCTCACCCACACGACGCCATACACGCTGTACAGTGAAAACTGGGATTCATCCGTGAAAAGAACACCTCTCCAAAGTGCCAGGCGCCATCGAATGTGAGCATTTGCCCACTCAAGTAGAGAAATAGGCCTTTTGTGTACATAGAAAAAGTCTTAGATCTTTGAGTTCAGCTCATGAAAAATGAGGGCAAAAAAAAAAATGTTGCGTTTATAATTTTGTTCAGTGTATATACATACAATTCATTTTTTCTCTGCTTTGCACACATGAAGTTCATGAATTAACATGAATTAACCATGCGACCATATAATACGATTAAATGTTAATAAATTAAGTGTACCAGCAATCATAAATCAAAGAAGAAATTTCTTAGAAATATATTTTACCTAGGTGACGAGGATCACTCAGTCGCTTTGTGTCAAACTCAAATGCAGTTACATGGTTTTTGACCAGCGAATGTGTGCAAATGTGCATTTTGTCCGTCATTAAAACAGTGGCATCACATTACGTTTTCATCAACAGGTTACAAAGTTTGTTGTAGCTACATGGGCGCTCAGTTTTTCCTGTTGTAAAATACATTTGGCCAAAATCTCATTTTATAAAAGCTGAAATGCTACTGTATGCACAGGCTATTTAAGTGTAGGCTATTAGCTATGACTAGATGGAAAATGCTAGCCCTCTCTCTCTGGTCCCACATGTCTCAGACCTCAAATACATAAAATATTAGCCTTTATAGACAGTGTTTCTTGCATAAAGAAAACGCTGTACTTATTCAAACTACAAGATAATTATTTACCCTTGCAAGACTTCGTTCAGCTGCTGTGGAACTTTAGTTCATTCAGTCAAGATAGAGGGGGTGAAGTTATAAGGTTTTACTGACAGTTTGAGCGGATCCAACAAGATTTAGTCACTAGCTCGTTTTAATACCTTTCATTGGCTAAATATTTGTAAAACAGACAGACAGGCGTAAAGGGTGACCAATAGCATTGATTTATTGAAGAAGAAAAACAAAACAAAACACCACCACCAAATAAAGGGCACTTCGGAGTGTAAGGGCAAAAAGGGCATGTTCTCTGCACAGGTTGAGCCCTACCTGCAGTGCACGTGCCTGGCCAGAGGTGTAAAGAGTAGGCTACCTGGAAACCATACTTGAGTACAAGTACAGATATTTTACAGCTAAAATGACTCCATTAGAAGTCCATAACCAATCACAAATGACTTGAGAATAAGTCTAAGAGTATCTGATTTTAACAGTACTTAAAGGGATAGTTCACCTTCAGTTGCTGGTCCCCAATGTAGACTCAAAGATGCATTAGTCCTCAACATCTAAGAGAAATGCCAGTGAAAAGCGAGAAAAAGTTGATTTGTGAGGAGAGCAATCACGTTTATTTTCTATAATCAAAATAAAACACCTCAAAATTCCAATAAATCAATGTCAACACAACCACCTCTTAAACGTCTATAGACACTAAAGTCTCAGTGAAGCACAAGTGCTCAAAAAGGGCATAAGTAAACCATTATCATTCTAAATGTTCTCTTCAATATGACGGATAAATAAAATAATGTTAAAGCTGCAGTCTGTAACTTTTTTAAAAATGATCCGAAATCAATATTTGAGCAAGTACATAACCAGCCAGTGTTCGAAACTATTGCCTTACTTTAGCCCAATTCACAACAGTTATCTTATAATAATGTTTTCTAATTTGAGTGGTACGGGTAGGTTTTCGTGGGAAATTCGAGCATGGCACTGCGTCATTACGTCACGTCTGTAAACATAAAGAAGTTGTCCCACCTACTAGGCTATCGCATCCTGAAGAAGTCGTCTCATCGGAGTCAGGGGAGAAATATGCACAGATCAAGCACCGGCCAAAAATACTCCTAAACAAATATGTTGGTGGATTTTGATATGAGAGGACAACAGGGGATGGACTTCTACACTGGTGGAAGCATTATTATGGATTATGGACTGTAAATGACAGTTTAAATTTAAAACGCCTTAATGATGACATTGTTTCTTACATGTACAACACTTTTTGCTTCACAAGACATTAACTGATGGACTGGAGTCAAGTATTTGTGGATTATGGTGATGTTTTTATCAGCTGTTTAGACTCTCATTCTGACGGCACCCATTCACTGCAGAGGATCCACTGGTGAGCAAGTGATGTCATGCTTAACGTCTCCAAATCTGTTCTGATGAAGAAACAAACTCACCTACATCTTAAATGGCCTGAAGGTAAGTCAATTTTAAGCACATTTTCAAAATTCTGTTATCGTCATCACCTTCAGTAAACAATTTTTTTTTCAGTGGAATAAAAAATAGAATATCTTGAAGAATGTCGATGAAATTATTTTTTATTTTATTTATTTATTTTTAATGTGGGTAAATAAATATAATTTTCATTTTTAGGTAAAGCATTTTTATAATAGAGGATCTGTTGAATTAAAAAGTGCAAATCAGATTTAATAAAGATAAACTTTTTATTATTCGTTTTGAAAAGATCTGTGTGAGACAAAATAGAAATCTCTTGTGGCTTTATGTAAATAGTTTACATAATACATTTACATTATGAAATTATTTACTCCACATTAATTCATCTCATTAAGACTGACAAGACTTCATGTAATACAAATACATTGTGACAATGCCTATTATGTTAAAATACATCATATTCCACATTTTGACAACACTGAACTTTATCAAGCAATACTAAATACTACCTGGACTTTAACGACATCATACAACACTGTAATCAACTGTATGGAATAATTGGTAAATGTATTAAAAATAATAAAGATTCTTCTTCAATTTGGAACAAATGAAGAACATCTGTTCACATAAAGTGAATATATTATTCCTTGCATAGATAGATATGATATTTTAAAACATACCACTATTTCAAAAAATAACTCACAATAATGGGCCTTTCGACAATTTACACAAGCCATATACATCACAAAACAAAATCACAGTGGAAAAAGCACACATATTTCTCTAAAATCAGTTCTGCCAAAGCTTTTCAGTGCCTGCTGAGCTTATCCATCAATCTATAAAGTCCACCATATAGTATACCAAATCCTATTGAATATTACTTTATCTTCCTACTGTAAGAGCTCTTAACTCTTTCTATCAGACAAAAAATCTTTTCTATTTGTTCAATTAAGGCAATACTTGGGTTGCACCACTGAATGAGGATGAAGTCAGGAACTCCAAGACTTAGACTACAACACTTTTGCATCACAAACAGCAAAATACAGAGAGTTTTGACAGATGATTAATTTCCCATGATGCATGACGTATAAGCACAGTGCTGAGAGGTTATTTTGTTGTTGTTTTAAGGCTGTTTCAGGTCAGTATTTGAGTCAACAGTGTGTAAATCAGAGGCTAGAGGGCAGTGAAGACTGTTCCTGAGCTTGTGCATTTCACATACACTACATCAGGATCTGAACTGTGCAGACATACACTAGAGGTAGACCTACCTACTGTATAAAATATCTAAAAAAATCTAAGAGTATAAATTCTTCATTACATAACATGGATTTCATTAAACATTTTCAGTACAAAACACAACTTATTTGAATTCATTCAGTGGTAGTGTTATATATGGTATATATAGATATATATGTTATATATAATGTATATTTTATATGTGACTTGTTACCGTCTCTTTAAAGACAATTTTATTAAACTTTTGGCTTTTTTTTTTCTTTTTAATTAAATAGTCGTGTGGTGTTACCTTTTTTTTTTTTTTTTAAATAAAGGTCATAAAACTCCATTATATTTATTCCAGAATTAGAAAAATGTTGAAGCTGACATTTAGTTAAAAGTACAGTAAATAACAAAGATGGCATGTCAACTATCTGAGTGTCATAGTGACTTTTAAGAGAAAACATTACTTGAATGCTTTTCTGATAGCATTAGCAGCTAGTATTTCTCTACAAGTGGTCGTGAAAGCCTGCTGTTTTTCATAATATGCAGCCTCATTAATAAACGTGGGGTACACTGTGTTGGCACCTTCATAAAGGATTGTTCTCCCATCAAACGTTAGGAACATAGGGTCACCCCGGTTCAAAGGCTCCCAGTCACAGTCCTACACAGAAAGAGAAAGAGAGGGAATGAACAGGACCATACTGTGGAAAACAAGTGAAGCCTGGGAGTGAAAACAAGCACAGCAAACCTCTGAGTCATAGGACACATTTTCTTACATGTGTTTCCCCCTCCCTGCATCTCTGTCATAAAGAGCAATGCTTTTATACGTCGCTTGAGGGTATGTGCTTTCCTTTCAAAAGAAACACACTTCTCTATGCATTTACTAGATGGTCCATTTAATACCTGTAGATGAGGATGCACCATGGCTGTGATGTTGCCGTTGGTGTCTCTGGGGTAGTCCATTCTCTCCTGGACTCTGAATACATCTACTGTACATGGAGGAAACTCTACACCTATGACCAAAAAATAAAAACACACACGGAAAACTAGGTGAAAAAAGTAAAGTAAAGGGAAAAAAAGATATTTGACCTTGTCTGTTGTCACTTAAAGGAATTGTTCAGCCAGAAATGAAAATTTCCTTAAATTTACACACCCTCAGGCCATCCAAGATGCACTGTAGATGAGTTTGTTTCTTCATCGGAACAGATTTGGAGAAATTTTGCATTACATCACTTGCTCACTAATGGATCCTCTACAGTGAATGGGTGCCGTCAGAATGAGAGTCCAAAGAGCTGATAAAAACATCACAATAATCCACACGTAATCCACACAACTCCAGTCCATCGATTTACATCCTGCGAAGTAAAAAGCTGAGTGTTTGTAATAAACAAATCCATCAAGGCGTTTTTGTTGCTTCTGGTCAAAATGTGAGTCATTAATCCAAAATAACGCTTCTTCCAATGAAAAAGTCCATCCCCTGTTGTCCCCTCACATAATAATCCACTGACACATTTGTTTATAACTGTTTTGGACCATTTTTGCTTGTAATTAGTCCTTGATCTGTGCATATTTCCCTCCTAATATGAAAGGTCTCATATGGCCAAAAGCGACAGTTTAAAGTTAAAATGCCTAAATGGTGTATAATTTCTTACAAACATGCAGCTTTTCAATACACAAGACATTAACTAATGGGCTGGAGTGGTGTGGATTACTTTTAGATTATTGTGATGTTTTTATCAGCTGTTTGAACTCTTATTCTGACGGCACCCATTCACTGCAGAGGATCCACTGGTGAGTAAGTGAAGCAAACTCATCTATACATCTTGAATGGCCTGAGGGTGAGTAAACATTTTCATTTTTGGATGAATTATTCCTTTAAGTATTAATCAATGGCTTATATAGAGATGTAGTTCAATCTAGAAACATGTTTATTATGCTTAGGTCATGCTATATTTTTTCAGCTTTGGTTCTTTCAGCGGGGAGTGGGATCAAGCTGGCCTGAAAATGTTATAAAAGCAGAATATTTCCGTAAATAAGCAGACCTATTTGCCAGCTTCACTTCAAAATTCTGAGAAATTTTCCAGTATTTCTCCATCCTGTATTGTGTTACTGTGTTAATGAAATACGTTAATGTCAGGCTGTCAGGTTTATGAGTATGTCAGACATGTGTTGACATGGGTGGTCACTAAATAAAGAGTTTGGCACTCCTCACATTACGGTACAGTGTTGCCATATGATCATCCTTCACCTTATCGCTATCTAGAAAAAAAAAATACAACATATTTCATATTTTAAGTTAACTGGCAAGTCTAAAATTATCAATAATATTGTTTTACAGCCACATTACACCCTTACAAGGAAGACACTTGCTGAAGTGCTCCTCATGTTTCACTATAAACACTATTCTTTATGTTTTGCTTGTTATGTTGATGTGGTCCAAACATGGCTCCACACTGGCAAACAGAAAGCACGTTTGAGGGCTCACAATGAGACATTCATCCACAACAATGCGGCCCCTCTACACAGCATGACATTACAAAACCCAGCAAGCTACCAATGACATGGAAACTAACCAACTAGCAAACAAGCATTCAAGTCACAAAACGGCAAAACCAGAAGAGAAACCAGCCACCCTTGCCCAGCTCAACATGTTCCTGCTTAATGTGAGGCATGGGGAAATGTGTATTCATGTCAGGCTGAAAGTACATGTGACTACCTTGTTCAAATGTTTCCACAGTCGAGGGGAAAAAAAGAGGAAGATAAACTTGAAGAAGTCTATACTTCAAACTGGCTGAAATGCCAAGGTTGGACAGTTCATATTTAAATCAGTGCTTGCTGACTCAATGACCTGAGAGCAGAACCGTTTGTCTTGAAATGCCACACACTATCCTGGCAGAGAAACGGATGGCCACAGGGCAAAGAAAGTTATGTAAACATGAAGCATCTATAAACGATATGAGAAACACATTGTTCAAATGCGTTATTGAAAATAATACAAAATGTGAATTGTGTGACATATGAAGAACATTATAGATCCATACTGTTACTGCACATTTACCATTGGCTTGTATTAGAAAATAATCCTATTGTATAGGTAATATAGGAAATAATCTGATGCTGAAGACTGCAGTAGTGGCTGCTGAAAATTCAGCTTTACCATCACAGGAATAAATTAATATTTTTTAACATTTATGAAATATAAAAGTTATTTTTAAAAGGTAAACATCAGAATAGTGACAAACTCAGAATTTTGTGATATAAACTTGTAATTATATAATTGTAATATATATGTGTGTGTATATATATATATATATATATATATATATATATATACACACCTTGCTACGTGTACTGTGTTAGGCTAACCAAGACTTGTCATTTGCACTTATATATTGTTGCTCTTTTGTTAGTTTTGACTGCTTTTATTGTCCTCATTTGTAAGTCGCTTTGGATAAAAGCGTCTGCTAAATGACTAAATAAATAAATAAATAATTATGTGAAGAAAAGTCTGAATTGTGAGGTATTATCTTGTGAGATTTAAAAAGTCAGAATTGTGGGATAAATACTAGGACTTACCTTTTTTTTTTTTTTAATAAAAAAATAAAAAAATAAAAAATGGTGAAATGTAAACTCAGAATTGCAAGAAAAAGTCAGAATTCTGAGTTTATCTTGCAATTATATATATACTATACACTTTTTTTTTCGCAATTCTGAGAATTGTGTGGTACATTGCCTTTCATAGTTTTTACTGTAATTCTGAACAAATAAATGCAGCCTCAGTGAGCATAAGAGACTTCTTTCTTTCTTCTCATCAAATTGTGTGACACATCTGAAAAACACAACATTATGGTCCCATACTGTCACGGTCCATACCATCACATATGATTACTATTGGTTTATATTAGAAAATAATCCTATTGTATAGGAAATATAGAACCTAAGTTGTCTTCTGGCTACTCAGGTTGCCTTTGAAATCCCTTTATAGCAACACATTCCAGGTTCAGTGCAGTAAGCATGCTGATCTCTCCTTAACCTTGATTGACCTCACCACTATTGAAGAACTCGTTGAAGTCCAGCGCATGCTTCAGTATCGTCCTCATGGACTCAAATACATTGCTCCTCAAAACACCCTGCGGCTGAGGGCCCACCTCAAGACCTGCAAGACAAACACATCTATATAAGTCAATAGTACTTGATTGGTGGGTCGTGACCCAACAAAGGGTCACAGGTCTAATCTGATCACAGACAGCAGTGAAAAACCATGTTAAATAAGGTGCAACTGGTACTGTGTTGGGTTTCCACTATAATATTAATTAATGGAAAAAGGAGTCTCATCAAATGGCACGGAATGAGCTCTAGATGTCTACAGAATTATCTGCAGAGGCTCTGGATGCTTTCATTATAACTAGACTTGTCATAGTATCCTTGCTTATTCCACTTCTTAGCTGCTGGCTGACTTTCAGGGGTAATATTAAACTTAATTTTCAGAATCAGGTTTGACCTGCTAAGTATCCCAGGACTTTGTACTCACCAATAGGGTGTTTGGCCACAGAGCGTGTGGTTGAATACTTCAGCTGTGGGTGTTCGTTTAAGAGTACTGAACAGGTATGGGGAGCCATAGCTTTCTGTAAGTGGGAAGAGCACAGGTGTCTGTGTAAAGATGTTTGATTTGTTTATTTTAAGACATTAAGCAAAATCTTGGTATTGGAATGTTTTGGTTAAGGAATTTAATGTTCAGTATATACATGCAACAAATTATTTGTGCACTATTCAATTCAATTCAAGTTTATTTCTATAGCGCTTTTCACGATACAAATCGTTGCAAAGCAACTTTACAGAAAATTAAGGTTCTACAATATTTAGTAGTATCTTATCAGTGGTGACTGTCAGTTAATGTACATATGGCAGAAATGTACGGAAAAATCAATTAAAGACGTAATCAAACAGACGATGAACACTATTAACAGCAATTATTATACACTACCATTCAAATGTTTGGGGTCAGTAAGATTTTTTATTTTTTTGTATGTTTTGGAAAGAGGTCTCTTATGCTCACCAAAGCGGTTTTTGTTTGATTAAAAATACAGTAATATTGTGACATATTACATTTTAAAATAACTTTATTTATTTTTCTTTTCTGTGACGGCAAAGCTGAATATTCAGCAGCCATTACACCAGTTTTCAGTGACACATGATGTTTCAGAGATCATTCTAACCTGCTGATTTGGTGTTTAAAAAAGATTTCTCATTACTAACATTTCTTATTACCGGTATGTTGAACACAGTTATACAGAAACAATGACATTTTCCAAGATTTTTTTTAATGAATACAAGTTAAAAAGAACAGCATTTATTTGAAATAAATGATTCTAATATGTTGATTAATATGCTTATTATTCTTGTGATATATTTTTCAGGATTCTTTGGCGCATAAAAAGTTAAAAGCAATAGCATTTATTTAAAATATAAATCATTTGTAATATTATAAATGTCTTAACAGTCACATTTGATCAATTTAATGGGTCCTTGCTGAATAAAAGTATTACTTTCGTTCATAAATAAATAAATAAATACATAAGCAAATAAGTAAGTATCTTACCCCAAAGTTTTGAATAGTAGTGTAGAGATGCAGAGGGTAAATAAAAAATACAAGATGATTTTAATATCATTATACAGTATAATTGGATCTAGTTTCTTACTTTAATATAATGCACCATCTGAAGGTTGAAGAGGTCTGTTGAGCTTTCCAGGATGAGGGTGGAGCCCATGTTTGAGGTGGTGTTGTGAAGGTCAAAGATGACATCATATGCATCCGAGCTTCCTTTGTGTCCGAACATCCGATTTATTTCCTTGGCCCTCTGGACTTCATATAGCAGCCCTTCAACATCTGGAGCACTGTGGATAGAAAAATCCTTATCAATACAATAATTGCAAACAAGACATAACAAAAAGGTCAATCAATAAAACATATTTTCAATAGGCTACATAATGCAAACATAAAAATACTTTTTGAAGTATATTTAAGTAGTTTTAATTCCACAAATGGCAACTTTAATAGTAAAATATAAGACATCTAGAAGTTCAAATCAATAGAAAACCTTGTTCTAATGGAAAATAACATGCATGTACTGGTGTTAAAAATCTTTTGAATAGCAGTTAGGTTCAAGTGTACCGTTAACTTTTTTTAACAGAGCAGTGAACGACAAAAAGATCAGCTATTACATAAATAATAACTTATTTATTACTTATTTTTTTTCTTAAATCTAAACTAGAAACCTGAAGTTTTTAAATGTTTTATTTACTGCTCTAATTGCCGAGTTAGAGGAAATGTTCCAGCATTATTCCTATTTCACAACATTGCCAAAATTATGCACTTTTGTCACCATTAGGAATTAAATAAGTTTCAGACAGAGATGCATATAACAAGCACACGAAGCAGAGGGGACTGAAAAATAATGCTCAGAGAAGCTTTCCAGCTGGTTAAAAAAAAAAAAAAAACTGCATAAAAACAATGAACAGTTAACCGTGAGCATCTGTTGTGATGTGTATATTTTGCAACCCCTCACAGTACATTATTATGTACGCAGTGTTTCTTGGTTGACTGTACATCAATGACCAAGGTCAGTTTATAATTTATAATACCACCAAGACATGCCAGTCTCAATTTGCAACCCTCATTCTGTATTTAAATTATCTAATAAATGAACATAAATAAATAGAGATAACCACTGTAGTAATAACCACTAACTGGAGTAAAAATTGTAATTTGTCACATTTATAAAACTGAAATTCAAAAAACACTTAGCCTAAGTAATGAAAGGTCCTCAAAAAGTCAGTTTTACACCCGTTACCCTGAAAATGAACAATGGTGCATGACAAAACGAATGCATGACAACAATAAACAACACACAGAACGCGATAATAAACCTCCAACACACGAGAGGGAACGTTTCGCAACAGTTTCGCGTCCATTGTTTGATTGTGCTCTGTTTTATGAAAGCGAGCATAAACAAACGAGGCGGACTTGTACAGAAAACAACACGTTGTGCAAGACGTTTATTTACCTGAGGTTCTCGGGCGTAAAGGCTCTGTTCAGATCCGTGTCGATGTACCTGGTACATTTCTCCACTGCTTTAGGGTTGCTTATGAACGGCTTGATCAGCAGTCCGTTTCTCTCTATTTCGGCTGAATTCTGTTTCCACATATTTACCAGCGTTATGCCAGACATCTCATTTCCATGTGTGCCTCCAAAAATAGCCACCCGTTTGGCTTCGTGTAAACAAGAAACATTAGTTCGCGAACTCATAGCGAGATCGACACGGACGCGCGGTTTTCGAAAGACGAGAGCGCAAAGTTTCCACACAACTGCCGTTTCCTCTAGTCGCCGGTGCGATGTGACTGCTGTTATATAATGCTTATTTAAAGGCTAAACCCAGGGCATTACTGCGTTTGTGTGTCATCTACGTTACACGCGCATGGGTCGGGTTTCACATTCGCGCTGCGCTATGGTTTATCGAGCGATTATGTTGGTCATGGTCAAAATGTCACAGGAGATTATACACGGAAAATAAATAGCTATTAAACGCGAGCACGTGGCCTATGCAAACTAAACAGTGCATCAACTGAAAAAAAGGTTTAAAACAAAAGTCTATACAGTGAATAGAATACAAAGAATTTTATTTACTACGTTTCACTATTGAATTGATTATTCCTCTATCTACTCTGTTGCAAAATCGAAGGTCAATGGGATTTAAAGGGATAGTTCTCCCAAAAATGAAAATTAGGCTGCGTTTTACTCACCCCCGAGGCATCCTAGGTGTATATGACTTTCTTCTTTCAGACGAATCCAGTCGGAGTTATATTAAAAATTGTCTTTGCTCTTTCAAGCTGTTTAATGCCACTCAGCGGGTGTTGCATTGCTTCAGTCCAAAAGAACTTAAATAAAAATCACCCATCCATAAAAAAAAAAGTGTCTCACATGGCTCCGGGGGTGAACAAAGGCCTTCTGTAGCGAATCGATGCGTTTTTGTAAGAAAAATATCCATATTCAAAACGTAATAATCACTTGAATCTAGCTTGCGTTGACTGTTGTAAACAGAAGCAGTTCCGGGGGAATGACGAATGAGGTCGGCTTTGCGCATGCGAAGTGACGCACGCGGAAATGCAGCGGAGAGATCAAAACAAAACAGTGGTCAAAGAATTAGAAGTACAAAACGAGGATTTGTAAAGAAGAATGTCAGAGGATTTCGATATAAGCCAAGAGGAGACTGGTTTTCCTTTGCTAAAGTAAGGAAACTTTGCTTCCTTTGATCCTGTAAACAAATGTTGGTTCCCTCTTTGAGAACGGTCTCTCGACATGGCGTCAATGCCTTGGGGACTCCCTTCCTTCCTAACCTACCTGAAATCTTATTGCACAACGCCAGTGAAGTTGCAACTCTCACTGGCCAATGCCAGCCAAGACGGCGAATAGGGGCGCGGCCCCCGCCACTATATAATGCGCCGTATTGGCCGGCATAAGCTCAGAATCTTCCTCTTTCACACATCCTATCAAAGACAGCTGTGGAGAAAACGCAGAAAGACGGATTTTCCTCTCGGCGTTCCAGCATGTCCAACGTTTGCACGCTGTGTTTGGGACCCATCGAGGCCCCGGACACTCAGGAGTTCTGCATCTGGTGCCTGGGTCTCACCCATACGGAGGCAGCACTCACCGGGTTGGGCTGACCGCACTGCGAGGAATTCTCAGTGCGGGTGCTTAGGGCCCGGAGGAATATCACCCTCGCCTCTCAGCCGCACGTGGGCGACCACGCAGAAAGGCGCAGTTCACTCCCCCCGCTCTCCGGTGTGCTTGGCAGAAGAGAGTCTTCAGCCCGCCTCTGGCGCTTCGGAGATTATCTCGTTCGGTGCGGCGGGGGACGACGACGATCTTGAGGAGGCCCCAATCGGCTCGCACTCACGCTGGTGGGTCGGAGATCTTCACTAAAGTCGACGGGGCGGAAGCCCGAGGATATATTCGCGTATTCCACCCATCAAGGAATCCATTGCCGCGCACCTCTGCCCCTCCTCTGCTTCCCTGAAGACGGGTGCTACGCTGCCATCAAGGCCCTGCCGTCTGACCGCACACGTTGCGGACAAAGCATACGCCGCCTCGGGAGAAGCGATCTCATCGCTGCACACAATGGCAGTGCTCCAAGTTTTTCAGGCACAGCTCCTGAAATCCCTGGACGAGGGTGGGCGGATCCCGAGGCGTTTAAGGATCTACGCGCGGCGACAGATTTTGCACTTAAAGCCACAAAGAAGACGGCCCAGGCGATCGGACGGAGCATGGGCTACATGGTGGTGCTCCACTGGCATCTGTGGTTGACACTCACTGAGCTTAAGGACGCGGACAGGAGGGCGCTGCTCCACGCTCCTGTATCTCCATCCGGCCTCTTTGGAGACGCGGTGGAGGCTATCGCGGAGCACTTCTCAGGGGCACAGAAGCGCTCCAAGGCGATGAGTCACTTCCTGCCACGCCGGGCTGCAGCGCAGACCCCTGCACGTAGTAGATCCTCATCTGCTTCCAACCGGCCGTCGAAGCGGCCCCCCTCTGCTTCAGCTTCATTGGCGCCGGACCCAGAGCCGTCTGTTCGTGCCAAAACTCCGTGGCAGAGGACACAGAAGGGGCGTCACGGCTTCAAGAAAGGCGGCCGTCCAGGGGGAGCTCCCCCGCCGGAACAGAAGCCTCGTTCCTGACGGGAGATTGCAGAGGAGGAGAGCGGCGAGCCCGCCGCGAACTCCCCTTGGCTGTTGCAGGCGACTACGGGAATGTCTGTGTTGTGTATGTTCAAAATGCAATAAAGTCTGTGACACCCTCACAAAAAGAGCTTTTTTCTCCTCCTCCAGTGATAGCGGATTCACACTCGGCCGTGGAACCGTCAACAGAGTCGGGCTTGCAGCTTCCCCGTGTATCTGGCGAGGCTCACGCCCCTGTGGCCGGTGTCGGACCCCAGCAGCGGCGGTATTAAGCAGAAGGCTCGCGCTCCCCGTTGATCGGCGAGGCATGACCCTCGCTAACATACAGCGCTCCCACTCGTCCCGTGAGCTTTCTGAATACGACCCCGTCATACAGCGGCGTTGTTCAGAATTCAAAGGATGAGGCGCTCCGCCCTCTGTCTTTTTGCGAGCGCATGGTGGTCCATTCTGGGCATTTCGGATTGGTTGCAGAACGTAATAGAGAACGGCTACACGCTTCAGTTTCGGCGCAGACCACCCCGGTTCAATGGCGTGGTCATGTTGACAGTTCCGGCACACAACGTGCCGGTGCTGAGGCAAGAAATTCTCAATCTCCTCGCGAAATGCGCGATAGAAGTGGTCTCGCCGAGCGAGAGAGAGAGAGCGGGTTTTACAGCCGGTACTTTGTCGTTCCAAAGAAAGATGGTGGTCTCCGTCCCATATTTTAGACCTGAGACCCATCAACCGTGCATTATACAAACACGCTTTCAAAATGACAACGCTAAAGCCGATACTCGCGCAGATTCGACCCGATATTGGTTTGCTTCGGTGAACCTGAAAGATGCATACTTTCATATCCAGATCGCCCCTCGTCACAGGCGCTTTCTGAGATTTGTCTTCGAAGGCATAGTGTATCAGTTCACGGTGATGCCGTTCGGGCTAGCGCTGGCGCCACGTACATTTACGAAATGTGTGGATGCAGCACTTTCCCCTCTGAGAGCAAGCGGAATACGCATTTTGAATTATTTGGATGATTGGCTGGTCTTGGCCCATTCGGAGGATGTGCTCAACAGCCACAAACACGCTCTGTTACTTCACCTGGAGAGGTTAGGTCTCTGTGTGAACAAACAGAAAAGCGTGTTACGCCCCAGCCAGTCAATCATGTATCTGGGGGTGCAGTTGGACTCAATCTCGATGAGAGCGCGTCTGAGCCGGGAGCGCATACTAGATTTAATGTCCGCTCTGAATGCATTTAGGCTGGGCCGTCCCGTAGCACTGAAGGAATATTAGAGGCTCTTGGGGCGGATGGCGGCGGCTGCGACGGTCTGTCACCTCGGCCTACTCTAAATGCGCCCCCTCCAGATATGGCTGAAGACACAAGTACCGAGAAGGGCGTGGAAAACGGGCCGTGCCCGTGTTGTGGTCACTTGCAGATGCTTGAATGCGCTGAAACCATGGCGAAACCCCGACTTGTACCAACGCGGTGCCCAGATGGGTCTGGTAACGTGGCGGAAAGTGGTCACGACGGACGCGTCGACGACGGGCTGGGGAGCTCACTGCGACGGCGTACCGGCCTCGGGCTACTGGACAGAGTCAGAGAGAACGTGGCATATAAATAGCCTCGAGCTGAGAGCGGTCTTTTTGGCTCTTCGGAGTTTCCTCACGCAAGTCCGGGGGCATCATGTGTTGATTCGCATGGACAACATGTCGCTGGTATCGTACATAAACCACCAGGGCGGAGTATACTCGAGAGCCCTTTACATCAATACTTTAAAAAAAGAGCCACACAAAAAAAACCGATGGATAACATTAAAGAACATTAAAAATATTTAAAATAAATATACATAGCATTCACGCACTGTAAAAAATGGAACGGGCTATCTACTTAAAAAAAATTATGGTAACAATATTACACTTAATATTTTTGAGTAGTTTTTAAGGCTAATTTTTTTAATGGAATCTACCTGAATAAATCATGTAAAATCTCCTAAATTAATTAATCTATGACAAAATGTATTTAATATAATTAGTGAAATGTGCTCATTTATTTTAAGTTGATCCTCAAAAATCTGTGATTTTGAGTGAGGCCTGTTTGTATTTGACTGAGTTATTTTATCCATTTAAAAGACTGTATACAGCCAAACAAACAGCTCAAGTAGGAAAATACTGCACTAGCACTAGCAAAGCTACTGCTCATTGAACAAGGCTTAAAGGTGCAGTAGGAGATCTTGGAAAATGCTAACTTTAGCCTGATAGCACTGAAAGTGAACGTCCCACCCTCCCTGCAATCGCCATCCAAAGCCACGCCCCCTGAACGCATTTACACTCACAGACCAGAATATCAGAGACCTCCTGAACGCATATACTCTCACTCACAGACCAGAATACCAGAGACAACATTACTACAATAGGCTACATCAGCAGTTCTAAATTCCAGCCCATGTTCCGAAGTTAAGTAAACTTCAACGTATTTCCCCTGCTCAGGGAGGAGGGAGCAATGAACACTGTGTAGGGATCATATCGATCGGAACACAGTTCATGCACGTAGCTCACTTCTAACGAGCTGGCGCGAGGACTGGATTAACCGCTGGGCTACATCATGTGTCATTCACCGGTGAGAAATCTTTACAAGTACTACAATACCAGAAAGGGAGATCGGGTTGTTGATGTTTGCCTGCCATCCTCGCTCTGTCTGCGCAGCGTGCGTGAACGCGCTGATGGCGTATCCTGTCTGCGTGAACAGGGTGC